ACCCAGCTTTCTGACACTGGGCCCTACAGTGCGACCCAAAATCCTTTGGTAATCCTCAGATTTCATGATGCCTTGCACACAGTCAAGGCACCCAGTGCCAGAGGCAGCAAAACAACCCCAAAACATCATTGAACCTCCACCATATTTTACCGTAGGTACTGTGTTTTGTTCTTTGTAGGCCTCATTCCGTTTTCGGTAAACAGTAGAATGATGTGCTTTACCGAAAAGCTCTATCTTGGTCTCATCTGTCCACAAGACGTTTTCCCAGAAGGCTTTTGGCTTACTCAAGTACATTTTGGCAAACTGTAGTCTTGCTTTTTTATGTCTCTGTGTCAGCAGTGGGGTCCTCCTGGGTCTCCTGCCATAGCGTTTCATTTCATTTAAATGTCGACGGATAGTTCGCGCTGACACTGATGCTCCCTGAGCCTGCAGGACAGCTTGAATGTCTTTGGAACATGTTTGGGGCTGCTTATCCACCATCCGGACTATTCTGCGTTGCAATCTTTCATCAATTTTCCTCATCCGTCCACGACCAGGGAGATTAGCTACAGTGCCATGGGTTGCAAACTTCTTGATAATGTTGCGCACTGTGGACAAAGGCAAATCTAGTTCTCTGGAGATGGACTTGTAACCTTGAGATTGTTGATATTTTGCCACAATTTTGGTTCTCAGGTCCTCAGACAGTTCTCGTCTCCTCTTTCTGTTGTCCATGCTTAGTGTGGCACAGACAGACACACAATGCAAAGGTTAAGTGAACGTCTCTCCTTTTTATCTGCTTTCAGGTGTGATTTCTATATTGCCCACACCTGTTACTTGCCCCAGGTGAGTTTACAGGAGCATCACATGCTTGTAACATTCTTATTTATCCGCAGTTGTGAAAGGGTGCCAATACTTTTGTCCAGCCCATTTTTGGAGGTTTGTGTGACATTATGTCGAATTTGCTTTCTTTCCTCCCTTTTTTTGTTTTGTCCCAATACACACAAAGGGAATAAACATGTGTATAGCAAAACATGTGTTAATGCAATACGTTTCGTGAGAAATACATGATTTCCTGGAGAAATATCAAGGGTGCCAACAATTTCGGCCATGACTGTATATACACACACACACAGTATATATACACACTGCATGTTGAAATGTGTTTTTATTTATTACAAAATATATGAAAATTATTTTTAAAAATATATTTTCATATATACTGTGTCTTTAAAAATACAAATCTACATTTTTGGAATGCATTTACAAATATATGTAAAAATATATGTTAAAATGCCTTTTTTACATGTTAAAAAAAAATCTGAAGAAATATATTTAAAAAAAAATAGTTTAAAAAAGATATATATTTTTTATATATTCTTCAGTTTTTTTTTCTACATATAAAAAAGTCACTTATATTTTTACATATATTTGTAAATGCATTCCAAAATGTAGATTTGTATTTTTAAAGACATACAGCATATTTGAAATGTATTTCTAAAAATATTTTTCATATATCTTGTAATAAAAACGCATTTTTTTTTATGTGTGTGTGTGTGTATATTTTAAAATATATTGAATATGGCCAAAATTGTAGCATTTCAAATATGTGGCAATATATTTGGGAAGAATATTTTTAAAATATATTTCAAATATATTTTTCTTCCATGTGGGACTGATTAATATAATGTTCCACTTAGGTATGCACAAAACTACAAGCTGTGCACATCTATACATATATATATATGTGTGCATGTATATATATATATGTATATATATATATATATATATATATATATATGTGTGTGTATATATATATATATATATATATATATGTGTGTGTATGTATATATATATATATATATCTATATATGTGTATATATATTTATTTATTGAAATATATTTTGAAATATATTGAATATGGCCAAAATTTTAGCATTTCAAATATATGTCAAAATATTTTGGGAAGAATATTTTTAAAACATGTTTTTTTTTAATCTCTTTCTCTTTTTTTTTTAAATTTCAATTTAATTTTTTTTTCTTTTTTTGAACGGGACATCTCCCGATAATTAGTCACCGTTTAAGGATTGAGATCCTATTTCTTTGTAACCAAGTGATAATATGATGATGTATTCCCAAATGCTGAAGTAGCACTGTTCAGTTTACTGTTTTATGTCCGAATGGACTTGAGATGTCCATTTTGTGTACTTATGTTGAAAATGAATAAAAAATTAATATTCTCCTAGATTGTCAGCTCCCAGGATCAGGGCCCTCCTTTCCCTCTTGTATTGAACTGTATTGTTGCTGTATTGTCTCCCGTTATATTGTAAAGTGCTGAGCAAACTGTTGGCGCCATAAATCCTGTATAATAATAATAATAATAATATAAATCCTGTATAATAATAATAATAATATATAAATCCTGTATAATAATAATAATAATAATATATATATATATAAAAAAAAAAATATGTTTCAAATATATTTTTTCTCCATATGGGGTGAGTCTGTACGTAGCGTTCCGTATGCGTCTAAATGCTCCTTCTCCTAGATTGTAAGCTCCCAGGATCAGGCCCTCCTATCCCTCTTGTATTGAACTGTATTGTTGCTGTATTGTCTCCCATTATGTTGTAAAGCGCTGAGCAAACTGTTGGTGCCATAAATCCTGTATTATAATAATAATAATAATAATAATATAAATCCTGTATAATAATAATAATATAAATCCTGTATAATAATAATAATAATAATATAAATCCTGTATAATAATAATATTATAAATCCTGTATAATAATAATAATAATATAAATCCTGTATAATAATAATAATAATAATAATATAAATCCTGTATAATAATAATAATATAAATCCTGTATAATAATAATAATAATAATAATAATATAAATCCTGTATAATAATAATAATATAAATCCTGTATAATAATAATAATAATAATATAAATCCTGTATAATAATAATATTATAAATCCTGTATAATAATAATAATAATAATATAAATCCTGTATAATAATAATAATAATATTATAAATCCTGTATAATAATAATATAAATCCTGTATAATAATAATAATAATATTATAAATCCTGTATAATATTAATATAAAAAAAAAATATGTTTCAAATATATTTTTCCTCCATATGGGGTGAGCCTGTACGTAGCGTTCCGTATGCGTCTAAATGCGCCTAAACCTGAATGCTTTAGGCACATATTTAATGCAGGATCTTCTAGTTCCGTCAGCAAGAACGTGCGTTCCGTGCAGAAAATATACCTGCGCCCGTGTGAATGAGCCCTTAATGTGGAACTCGCGTTTTGTGTGCCAAAAAAAAAATGATGATTCCGCCTCGAAGCGACATTCCTGTGAGCCGAACACGTTCAGGGGAAAACAATCGCGACCTAAAACAACGGAGGTAAAAACTCGTCCGTCTTAATGAATTGAGCCTCGCGGAAGCTGGCGGCCGTTGCGGCGAACAGAAGCCTATCATAAACCGTGAAAGTGGCCTGTAAATGAAACGGCTTCATTCACCAGCGCGCTCTGCGGGAGGTCCCTCGCTTGTTAAAGAGGAAAAGCGTTCGCAGATTGTCGATAGGGCCACCGTGGGGCCCCTCCAGGCACAAATGTTTGCAGTTAACAAATTGTCATGTTCTCCCTGCAAATCAGCTCTCTAATGTCGTGCGCCTGTACAGGTGCTGAGCCCCAGCGGTGGCGGCGTAACGAGCGCGGGAGCTTGTCAGTAGAGCCCGTCGTGGGGAGCCTAGTGGGACTCTTTCACCCGAACGCGTTTAGCCCGATCGATGAAAATTGCTTCTTGCGCTTTATTTGTTTCCTTGGCTTTTAATAAAAAAAGGTATAAATTCTCCCAGCTGGTTAAGCTGTTCAGCATCGAACGTATTGCATCCCGTTTTAAAGGCAGTTGTACGTGTTTTGTGGCTTCCAGGTACACGAGGGTTCAAATAAAGAGTTTCTTCTCTCAAAGAGAACTGGTAACCCAAAGAGCAGTGGTAATAATCTGCATTTCCGCTCCCGTATTGTTGTAATAGCTTCTACTTGATTATTTGCTTGGATTCACTCCCTATCAAACAGGAGCTCCCCCCAGAAGTGGCACCTACCTCTGATTATTATATGTCCCCCATCCTCTGGAACTCCCTACCCCAATCTATCAGACTATCGCCTACTCTGCTCACTTTTAGGCGCACTCTGAAAACCTCTCTCTTCAGGGAAGGCTATCCTGCCCTCTGCTAATACTGGAATCCTCTACTCTTCCAACCACTCCATCCCCCACAGTTATTATCTTTTGTACCAATAGCCCCTCCCTCCTAGATTGTAAACTCCCAGGATCAGGGCTCTAAAATCCCTCTTGTATTGAACTGTATTGTCTCCCACCATAATGTAAAGCGCTGAGCAAACTGTTGGCGCTATATAAATCCTGTATTCTAATAATAATAATATATAAATCCTGTATAATAATAACAATAATATATAAATCCTGTATAATAATAATAATATATAAATCCTGTAATAAAATAATAAAAATAATAATAATATATAATCCTGTAATAAAATAATAATAATAATATATAAATCCTGTATAATAATATATAAATCCTGTATAATAATAACAATAAAATATAAATCCTGTATTATAATAATAATATATTATTATTATAGGGAGGATAGTACCTCCTGCTCACCAAGGAGCGCACACAGTCCAAAATGGCGGGTGCCATTTATGAATGGCAACCCGCCCCTGCACTGCCACCGTCCGGCCGTTTATATACAGTGGCCGGACGGCAAGTGGTTAAAGGAAACCCGAATAAATACCTTCAGGCTTTGTCATAATGAGGCATAAAATGGAGCCATCTTACAATACCATATATATGTGTGACTCAGTCAGGATCATAGTTATCCCTACACAAGGCTTTGATGCACAGTTTTACCAAGAGACGTACTGTATTTTTCGCTCCAAAAAATGGGGGAAAATGTCTGTGCGTCTTATGGAGCGAATATGGAGCCGCCTCTGGGATTGGCAGAGGGGTGGAGGACAAATGGAAGCAGGTGGAGGGATTGGCAAATAGAAGTGGAGGATGCTGATTGGAAGCCAGTGGAGGGATTGGCAGAGAGGGGTGGAGGACACTGAATGGAAGCCAGTGGAAGGGATTGGCAGAGAGGGATGGAGGACACTGAATGGAAGCCATTGGAGGGATTGGCGGAGAGAGTAGGAGGACACCGAATGGAAGTCAATGTAGGTGTTGGCAGAGGGGGTGGAGGACACTGATTGGAAGCCAGTGGAGGGATTGGCAGAGAGGGGTGGAGGACACTGAATGGAAGTCAGTAAAAAGATTGGCAGAAAGGAGTGGAGGATACTGAATGGAAGCCAGTGGAGGGATCGGCAGAGGGGTGGAGGACAATAAATGGAAGCAGGTGAAGGGATTGGCAGAGAGGGGTGGAGGTCACTGAATGGAGGCCAGTAGAGGGATTGGAAGAGGGGGGTGGAACACACTGAATGGAAACCAATGGAGGGATTGGCAAAGAGGCGTGGAGCTGACACTGAATTGAAGCCATTTGAGGGATTGGCAGAGAGGGTTGGAGGCCACTGAATTGAAGCCAATGGAGGTATTGGCAGGGGGGTGGAGGACACTAAATGAAAGCCCATAGCAATCAAAACGCACCAGCTTGAAGGAAAATGAAAGGCTTTGATAGTTGATAGTTCTACCTGCTCCAACATCCGGAATAGAGTGTTAAATATTAGCCCTGAGCTCAGGCACCAGAAAGGGCAACCTTGGGGGGGGACCTTACAATCTAGGCTAACATAGCTGCTCTGAATGGAAGGGAATAGCAGCACACCACCATCCCGGAGGATGTTAACCTCATAAAATCTCCCCCACAGATTGAAGAAAATCGCCTCCTAGACAGTTGTCTCCGGAACAGGTGTCCCCACTGGAAGATTTTCACTCTACTCCTCTTCTGGTGATGACTATAACATTTTGGATCATGGTTACCAGGACAAATAGAGTGTGCCAGGGCACAGCTATGAAGACCCTACAACATTTTGCCCACAACTAATAGATACAATTTGTACTTCAGATACTTTTATAAAAATAACTTTTTATTATCGAAGGCCAATTCATAATTACAGTATCGAGGCTGGAACAAGACCAAACCTCTCATAAACTTCAATTGTTTTGGTTCAAAGGAAGGCAAAAATAAACCCCCTGGGCAAATTTGTCCACTTTTCCTTTACCGGGGGGGAAACAAATCCATCCTGAGCCACAACGGCAGCTGTATGAACGTCATGGATCAAAATACTCTCATGCTGTCCTTTACTAATGGTAACTGCGGATATCATTAGCTGTATAAAAGGCATCCGGTATTTTTTCTCTTTTAATTCTGTGATTAATTTTACCATTAGTACCTCATGTGTTAAGACATTCCACAGCATAATCGCTATTTCCGTAAACAACCCCTTCCTGCGCTAATGGCAAAATCGTCTTTCCTCCATCCGCAATGGATATCCCTTTGTCCATTGTACGGGCCTTGGAACGAGTTGTTAAGCTGCCTTGCTTTGGAAGCTCCTAGAATCTTCTTCGTTGGTCTTCTGATATGGTGTCCAAAACAGGGACCCATATCCCAGTTGTGTTCTTACCAAAGATTTAAGGTTTTAGTAGTGAAGGTTACAAAAACAACAAAACAAAAAAGAAACTAAACCAAAACATATACTTACTTGTGTCATCCAGAATCTGTTCCATTCCTAAACACCTTCTCCGCACAAGACTCTATGCAATGTGTATGATGGTATCATGGAGAACCTGGTGGATACATTTCAGGAGATACTAAGTGTGACGGGAGTCACTTTGGGTGGGGGGCCCATGGAACACAGCTCACTTTGGAGAGGTGGGGAGACCCCTGTCTCAGCTCCCCATATCCCTCTTATGTGTAAGTCATCCTGTGCCAGTTAGGGGTACAGGGTGATCTGTCCTAATATCGGGGTGGGGGGTTGTTGATTGTTTAATGTCATGTGGTTGCATTCCATTGTTCTATTGTGTGTCTTGCTTGGGAGCAAACTATTATGGGATGTATGTGTTTATGTGTATTAGCTTAGTGGGGGGTGTCTCCAGCAGCCCTCCCTCCTGATGGGACTGTCTGCTGGTGTGAAGTTTGAATACCTGTGTGTCTTTTGTTACTAAATGTAGATTGCCCTGCCCTGTGTCATTATGCAGGGAGGGGGGATTGTCCCCTGAGTGTATATATCTTGTATCTGTGTTCAAATAAATGAGTCTACCTTCTGGATTACTTCAAGACTGGTGTCGTCTAGTCTTGTATGGTTGGCTGTGGTGTCTGTTGTTGGTGTTCGGACAGGGAAGCGGTATTCCAATGGAAGTACTCAGCACAGGCTGGGTCGGTTCCATTACACTAAGGGACACTTTTCAATAGTGATTTAGGCATATATATCTTTTATTTTTTAGATACATTGTTATTAGGTTTCACAACTAGGCAGTACATAGCTCACCAATGTTAACAATGGAACTTAATATACAACCGGCAAGTCAGAACAACATATTTAAGAAAACAGTTATACATCACGTTACAAAATCCATAGAAAAAAGCTGGGAGACATGGATGAAAACTCTCAACTGGGTCATCTTAGGTCCAGGGGTCAGGAGGATCCCAGGAGACCATAAACCTCACCAGTATGGACAGTATAATCGAAATATAAATACATATCTAATACTGTAAACCTAAGGGACCCCAAAGAGAACCAAAAGTATGAGACCTCGGGGTTGAAAGAACTATAATAGGAGATTGAGAGCGCTGGGTCACTGGAAGTCCAGCTGGGACATTGCAGGATGTGAGGAGACTGTATCAACCAGTGCTGTAGGAGCCTTGCTAAGATGGGGCTTTTCCCAGAAACAGAAGGAAAGCAGAGTTGACATTTCAAATTTTGAAAGAGTATGTTCCTTAAAAGCCTGCCATCTGTACAGGAAGCAGTTGAAGGAGATGGAGTGGAAAGTTTCCACTTCAAGTATTTTCCTGTACATGAGAATTTTAATGTCCAGTATCTTGAATCAAGGGGGTGAGTATGAATCCTGTCCAAAAGCTGAAGATATTCTATAAATGGACTCCCAAGTTGTGCTAGCATTGGGGAAGGGTCGCTCCAGCTGGGCCCCAAGGAAGCTCCCTATATCAAAATGTTCTCATTCTATCTACTCAAGTAAGAAGGAGACTAATGGAGGTATCTTTTATCATAAAGCCTTAATCTGACGTAGCCGTATCTGGGAACTCCAGCCACGGTGAAAATATCTTATCAAAAATTATCTGGGCATCCTCTGCTGTTGTAGGCTGCTTTACATAGAGGCAAAACAGATATTAATGAGGGATTTCCAGTGTTCTAGAGTTTGAGGGGCTGGGGACTTCCAAAGTAATACAATGGTTAATGGTAGGCCAAGTAATGTTCTGGTCGCTTTCTACAAAGCTAAGGTTTCCACCAGACCCAAGTGGCAAACCACTGAACACTGAGGGATTGAGATATTAGTCAAGGATGTAATATACTTTAATGCTTAAGCCCAGTGCCTGCTTATACTATCACAGCAGATGTGGACAAAGTCCTCTTGGGCATAAGACATCTCCAGCAGGTGTTAATGTCCAGTATCTTGAATCAAGGGGGTGAGTATGAATCCTGTCCAACAGCTGAAGATGTCTATAAATGGACTCCCAAGTTGTGCTAGCATTGGGGAAGGGTCGCTCCAGCTGGGCCCCCAAGGAAGCTCCCTATATCAAAATTTCACATTCTATCTACTCAAGTAGAAGGAGACTAATGAGGTATCTTTTATCATAAATCCTTAATCTGACGTAGCCGTATCTGGGAACAGATTAATAACAGATGTTAATTGGGGATTTCCAGTGTTCTAGAGTTTGAGGGGCTTGGGATTTCCAAAGTAATACAATGGCTAATAGTAGGCCAAGTAATGTTCTGGTCACTTTCCACAAAGCTAAGGTTTCCACCAGACCCAAGTGGCAGACCACTGAACACCGAGGGATTGAGATGTTAGTTAAGGATGTAATATACTTTAATGCTTAAGCCCAGTGCCTGCTTATACTATCACAGCAGATGTGGATAAAGTCCTCTTGGGCATAAGACATCTCCAGCAGGTGTTGGAGGAATTAGTCAAGATCCTTCCCAATCTTGCCGACGTAAGATAAGAGCAGTGTATACTTTTAAATTGCACAAACTGATCCCTGACTGAGATTCACTGTTGGAAAAGATACCCCTAGACATCCTTTCCAGTCATCACTGTCCAGGTTTGTGATGTTCTGTGATGAGTTCCCCCCACAATTAGTCATAGCTGTGGGTCATGGGGCTTTGCAAAGCCTTAAAGATATTGGTGTGAGCTTGTGGCAAGACTGAGCTTGTGAAAGAGATTCCTATCCTGTGATGGTCAATCTAACCATTGTTGGGTCAGTTGAGAAAAAAATGCATGGTGTAGTTGGAGAAATGAAGATATATACCAGTTGGGGAGAAAATATTCAGCTTTCAGTTCAGTAAAGGAGGCAAATTTATCGTTGACAGAGAGGTTCCCCAATACTATTGTGCCTGCATCACCATTTGTTATCTATGTTTTTATACACCCCAGACTTGTATATGCTTTTGCAGCAGCCACTGGGTATTGAGAGCTGCTGACTTAGCTCAGTGATAACCAGGGGCGGACTGACAACTCATGGGGCCCCAGGGCAATAGGGGATCATGGAGCCCCTGTGTCCTCGCCCACACCCAAAATAGCCTATGAAAAAGCCAATGAAAGGTACTAGGAGCATCTCATGGGGCCCCCTACTGACCCCGGGCCCTCGGGCAGTGCCCGAGTACTTGAATGGTCAGTCCGCCCTTGGTGATAACTAATATTTCTAAGTCCTCTTCCTCCGGTTCTGTTTTCACCGGCAATTTTTGGATTGGAAACATGAAATATAATCTTGCTAATATGACAAAGCAAACATAAAAATGTGAAAATCTTGTCAAAACTGTAAAATTAGCTCAGACAAAAATGGCCATTTAAAACTGTGAGTGGAAATTGTGCTGAGGTGCAGGCTTTCATTTACAAAGGATCTTTTGTTGCTTTTCCAGATCCTCCTAAAGAGCCATCGCTGATGTGCCGGTCGAACAATTACCCCGCCTCTTTCTACTGCAGTTGGCACCTCCCGAGTCCCACCAACATCCCCAACAACTTCAACATCACGGTCATGTAAGTCAAAGCAATGTGGGGCAATGGTGTAAAATAGAGAGGTCATTATATAGGGGGTTTCAGAAACAGGACCGAACCAAGGGGTAAGCAGAGTAGACGGCTGCCTTGGGTACTACAGTAAGAGGTGGCCAAAAAAGAAGGCAGTGCCTCCAAACTGTGCTGCTGAGGTATTTCCCAACTCATGATGGTGAGGCACACTTTGGTCTTTTTGGCTTGGGTGTTAAAGACCCAGCGCTGCCCAGAAGTGACAGTTCATGACAATAGGT